CCGAGAGGAAGAGCGAGGACGCGAGCAAGGCGAAGGCTCCTGTGGGCAAGCTGCCGGTAGCTTCGAAGGCAGTAGTTGGCGCCGCGAAGGGGCCTGCGCCTCTGTCGAAGGCCTTGGGGGCCAAGGCGGTTCCTACTGTGGAGGCGAAGGCTGGAGGGGATGCAGATCATCTCGGTGAGGCCGCCACCAAGACGCAGGCCTCCCTGGAGGAGGCGAGCGAGGATGCGAGCAAGGCGAAGGCTCCTGTGGCCACGCTGCCAATGGCTTTGAAAGCAGGAGTTGGCGCCGCCAAAGGGCCTTCGCCTGTGTCGAAGGCGTTGGGGGCCAAGGCGGTTCCTACTGTGGAGGGGAAGGCTAATGGAGTTGGAGAGCATCCCGTTGACGCCGCCACCAAGACGCAGGGCTCACCCGAGAAGGCGAGCGAGGATGAGGGCAAGGCGAAGGCTCCTGCGGCCAAGCTGCCAATGGCTTCGAAAGCAGGAGTTGGCACCGCCAAGGTACCTTCGCCTCTTTCGAAGGTGTTGGGGGCGAAGGCGGTTCCTTCTGTGGCAGGGAAGGCTGATGGAGTTGCAGATCATCTCGGAGATGCTGCCAGCGACTCTCATGCCGCCCCCGAGAAGACGAGCGAGGATGCGGGTAAGGCGAAGGCCCCTGTGGCCAAGCTGCCACTGGCTTCCAAGCCAGTTGCTGGCGCCGCCAAGGGGCCTTCGCCTCTTTCGAAGGCTTTGGGGGCCAGGGCGGTTCCTACTGTGGAGGCGAAGACTGGTGAGGGTGCAGAGCATCTCGTGGAGGCCGCCAGCAAGACGCAGGCCTCCCCAGAGGAGGCGAGCGAGGATGCGAGCAAGGCGAAGGCTCCTGTGGGCAAGCTGCCGCTAGCTGCGAAGGCAGCAGTTTTCGCCAAGGGGCGAGTGGCTCTTCCAAAGGCATTTGGAGCCAAGGCTGTTCCTTCTCCGGCGGGGAAGTCTCCGGGGGATGCAGAGGATGTTGACGCTGCCGAGGGCAAGAGCAAGGCGACGGAGGGCTCTGTGGAGGAGCAGAACGATGGTGAGAGCAAGGCGAAGGGTCCTGTGCGAAAGCTTCCTATATTCCCGAAAGAGCTTTCCNGCAGAACGATGGTGAGAGCAAGGCGAAGGGTCCTGTGCGAAAGCTTCCTATATTCCCGAAAGAGCTTTCCCGTAGGTTTTGCGGTAAAGCAAAATTTGAGGAAACAAGCTAAAGAAAATAATTTTATTATTTTATTTTCAATTAAATAAGGTTTAAATGTTTGAATATTCATTCTATGTAATGTGGGGGCTCTATATTAAACATAATAATTTCTTTAGTAAAAAGAAATTTTAACTTCTCATGTACAGGTTCGCTACTTAGATATAAACATAGGGAAAGTCGGGTAATCCTTTGTTTCATATTAACTGCAGCAATGGCCCCTTCACATCAGACCTTGTATGCATAACGGGAGAGGTTTCTAGAAAGAAAATGCTGCGTGTATATGACTGTCTGTGGTGCATTGTTATTTTTTCAGGTTCAGCTCCATCGATTCCCAGTGAACCTCTAAGAGAAGCGGGTCTGCGGGTTCTTCGGCAGTTGTCAGATTCTTCTCGTTCGTCGGGGGGAGACTCTCCATCAGAGGGAATCACTTCTGCTCCTCTGCTTGGAAGCAAACTCGAGTCTGTAGGTGTTATGAAGTTATCAATGGCTTTGCTTTCAAGAGGCGGAGGGGCAAAGGCAGCAGAGAAAACCCTCGCCAAAGGTGCTGGCTTCCCCAAGCCAGCACCCACCACCGCTGATACTCTGAAAGCATCAACCTCTAGAGAAAAGTTGCAGGTGAAGCCGAAAGGAAGTGTACAAGTTAAGGCTGCAGAGACGTCGCTCACTAAAAGTGGTGTTCTTTCCAAGGCGAAAGCTGTGTCTAAGGAACCACCAACCCGCGAGGATGAAAAGCATGTAACGCCAGAAGCAGACTCAGATGCTGAGGCTATAGAAACATCGCTTGCAGAAAGTGCTACCCCNAGCATGTAACGCCAGAAGCAGACTCAGATGCTGAGGCTATAGAAACATCGCTTGCAGAAAGTGCTACCCCTTCTACGCCTGCTATTGTGAAGTCCGTTTCGGCAGAAGCATTAACATCAGCCTCTGAAGCCCAAGTGAAGCCAAGAACTATACCAGTGCTGGTTGACGGCAGAGTGGAGCAACAGACGCCTAGGAATTGGTCTTTTGCCCCCACAGCAGTTGATACTCAACTATTGAAATTCGAGAGAAAGGGCTACACCTCAACAGGAAACACTTTTTATATCATGGGCCCCAAAGCCGCTGTTGAGTCTCTTCCAATAGTAGACTCATTTCAGCAGTCTCCGGATATTTCAGCTTCAGAAATGGATACAATCTCAAGAGCACTTGTTGGCTTTGATGCTATCAAGGGTTTATACGATTCACCCACAGACCTCATACCCTGGGACTGCAGCCTCAAGGCTTCGGCCAGCAGTAGCTGCGTGCAGATAAGGAAACTGCCACCTGTACAGTATGCCACAGCACTCAGCGTATGGAGTGAGGTGATACTGCATCAGAAGAGCCAAGTCGTATCGGTAGTAGGAGGCTATCAACATGGTAAGGCTATTCTCTCTTCTCCTTTTAGTGAAGCTGATATTTTTCAGTGGCGTTTCGCAAATTCTATNATGGTAAGGCTATTCTCTCTTCTCCTTTTAGTGAAGCTGATATTTTTCAGTGGCGTTTCGCAAATTCTATCGAGTAGCTAACTGTTGAGTCTTTCTGTGGGGCTGTGCAGGCAGTGATCGAACCGTTCCCTCTCTGCTGGCTGGCTTCGGCCTTTTGAGTGGATTCGCTGTGAAGGAGAAGATGTTGTTCATCAGAAGCGTCTGCCGGATATACGATGTAAGAGCGTTCATAATGTTTAATTTCAGCAAAATTTCTGATACCCCTGAAAATGTTTCAAAAGGATCCTTGGCACTTGAACTTTCTCCCTTGTACTACAGGCGTTGGCGCTTTGGAGCACAATTGCGTCTCCTGACAAGGGAGAATGGAGCTTGTGTCAGTGGAGGTGGATCATGGGATTCAACAGCACTGGCCAGGCAAGAAATATCTCCCTCACAGGTTTCTTGATACGTGATTCCCCTCCTGCAGATGCAGGTCTTCCAAGGATTGTACTTATCGCTGTACAGAGTAAGTGCAACAGGCCTTTGAAACGCCGCCTCAGTATGCTGCTTATGCTCAGACGAATTCACTGCAGAGCCATGCAAGAGAAGTACGGGTTCCATCTTTTGTTTCCTTTTGCTGCAGGCGCATTGTCTGACGAATTGACACCACAAATATTAGGCCTCCCAGGACTGTCATCTACCCAACTGCAAGATTCACTTCTACACGGTTGCATCGATCGTTTTAGAGAAAGTGAAAAAACTTCGAAGACACTCTCAGCCGTAAAAGAAGAGCTGCAAAAAACGCTCAACTGCAACATCATGGAGGTATGCCGTTACGTTCCTTATATAGTTGCATTTTCCGGACGCCCGCGTCGTCAGAGTTGTGGCTCATATGTATAGAGTTTTCATGCTGCTTATGCAGGCTACAAATATCCTCCGCATCTGCTTGGCTTATTGGATACTTTCTAGAGGCTCCAACTTAAGACCCGAAGACATCGAAGTCACGGAGCAGCTTCTTGGTGCACAGACGGGACTAGTTCAGATAATTTTCAAGCAAAGTTCAGGAGAAGACGAGGATTTATCTAGACAGCTCCGAAGTATCCTTTATGAGGGTCTTTTCTACTTCGTGACACAACTTGCCAATAAGGAAGTACAGGTAAACACAAAACTTTTGAACAAAAGAACTTCAACTAATTTAGCCAAAATTAGAGTTTTTGCGCATGCATCACATACACATTTCTCTTCACTTTGAGTTTCCTTTCGGTTGTTCATGCAGCGCTCTTTTCAACCGCTTCTACCCATGAAGCCATTTTCTCTTCAGAGCAAAGCTCTAGATATCATCATTGAAGGTATGCGAATTTCTAAAACTTTTTCCAGCAGGATACTTTCTTAGAACCACTCTTAAACATAATATATTTATTTCTTCAATATGCTTTGTTCTATGTAACCTACAGATGCTCCCTTTGCAAGCTCTGCTGATGGGCCGCTCTCCTTCGGAGGATTCGCTAGTCAGGCCTTACAGGTAATGCGTAAGAGCCCACAGAATACATTTGCTTGAAATACATTTATATTTCTTTTGCTGTATTTTTTGCAACTAATAAAGACTTGCAAGGTCTAACAAAGAGCTTTTGTTTGATCACGTGTTTCCAGGTGCTGCATCTGGCCGTTGCATTCCGAGGCATTCATAACCTTCAACGTATCTTGGATACCGATGATGTAAAGCTGCCTGTATACCTCAACTCTATGACGCAGAAGCCACATGCTCAGCTGCTTTTGCAGCTTCTCTTCTCAAGACACGGCGGCCTCATCCCGTTCCTTGCAAGTGAACCGAGAAACCAGGAAGGTGTGTATAGATTTTTGCTGGGGTTGATACGGGTCATTCTTAAGGCTGTGCAGTGAACACGTATACAAACATTTGGCATGCATTCGTTGCAGATGTGGTTGCTTGGATCGAGTGGGCAAGCACGAAGCCTTGCGCAAAAGAAATATTGAATGTCACACCTGATGGTTCATTACTCATTGACTGGCTGGGCCAGTGGTCTCCTACGGATCTGAAAGAGTTGACAAGCGCGTCATCGACCATCAAGGGATCAACATTTCGTTTGATTGGGAACCTTCTGCGTTCTGTAAGCACCCACGGAGGAGTTTCTTTGGTGCCTCTTTTGGCTTCCTCTCCTGGCAAACTTAGACAGATTAAGTTTCACAAGCATGCTCGCATAAGGATAAACTTGTTGTCGCTGTGGTGAGGAATTTGCTTCAGGCATCTGCTACAAGAATGTGTGGCCGCATCGCCAACTGTAGCTGTGCAGCTCGAGTCCTCCAAGCCGTTCAGGATTGCCTGGAGATTGACCTGGTTGAGAGACCAGTACTTGTCGTGCGCTCCTCGGATTCTCGTACGTACATATTCCACAAATATCAGTGCATGCACATTGTAGAAATTCATTTTGCATATTTGTTGTTAAATTTCTCTAACACATCGCACCTTAGGGGTAGCTTCTGCAGGGGGGCTTGCGAAGCAGTTACCTCATTGGCTCCCCGTGGTTACTTTGAGGCCTTCGGCGAGAGGCAGCTTGGTTTAAATCAGGAGGAGCAAAGTGTAGGAATGTGCATGCATTCTGTTTCTACAGGATTGACTAGTTGGACGTATGAAGAGCTTCTGAAGGTTGAGGATTGGCAGAGGTGAGAAAGATAAGTGGACCCGATCATATAGATATGCATTCCACTATCGTCAGTGTGCAAAAGCATATATTGAAACTTTTCTGTGTTGTGTGTTTTGATCAAACTCAGCTATGGCTTTCCAGTGGTGGCACGTATTGAGGACCTGCCGAAGTACTGCCCTAGACTCTTTGGGGGAGCGGCGTGTGGAGATAAAGATGACATTGTTCGCATGCTAGGACAGTATATTGACATCAAAGACTTCGCTGTAGGCAATTCACTTCTCTTTTTCAGGAGCGCTGCATACAACTCCCTTTATGCCTTTGAGCTGGCTGCTAAATCTATTGAAGAGGAGCGCAGAGCAAAGCTGCAAACTCTTGAACGTGAGCGGGAGAGGTTACAGGCCTTGAAGGCCAAACTACAGGACACAGTTATGAAAGATGGGGCGAGGCTTCAGGAAGTTCATAAGTCACCAGCATCAGTCAGCTCGGTTTCTGCGCGTAGTAGCCGGTTGCCCAGCGGTGATANGAAGTTCATAAGTCACCAGCATCAGTCAGCTCGGTTTCTGCGCGTAGTAGCCGGTTGCCCAGCGGTGATATTGCAGTTGATCAACGTCTTCAGAGCAAAAGCTCTGGAGGCGTGCAGGTGAACAGCAGCAGATCCGGAAGCAGCAGATCTGTTGTGGAAAGCCGCAAGTCCTCAGACTCTTCGAATGCAGTCAGCTCTGCCGGCGATGCAAAGAGCCTAGATGCATCTGCTCGTATGTGGCAGTCATGCCCTGTATTCTTTGAACCCGATGGGGAGTTGAGGGAGAAAGCTCTCAGGCCTAGCCTCTCTGTAGGTGCTCTCCCTTCCTCATCTGGAATGTTGCAATTTAAAGGGGGAAAAGGTGCAGCAGAGCTCTTGCTTAAGCGCCACAGCGCCGAAACAACTGGCAAAGTCTCTCCGCTTCTAAAGGTGAATGGTCTTGGAAGTACGCATTCTATGGAGAATGGAAAAACGCCGTCTGAAACAGATGCAACTGTCAACACAAAAGGCTCAGCTGCTGTGTCAGTGAAGCAGGGATCGTTGCCTGCTTCGGGCGACTCTCAACTTCTTAGCAGTACAGCAGAGGGAGCTAACGAGAATCATGCCGGCACAGGCGAAGAGAACAAGAACTCAGAAAGTGCAATTAACCACGAACAGCAAAACTTGAATTGCAGTAATGATGAGCTACGCAGCAGTGTTCAGTCAGTCACTGAAGTGCTCCCAGTCATCAACCACATCACTCCTACACAGATGAAGTATTCCAGCATTCCTACACAGATGAAGTTTTCTGAAAGCGGTGCAGATGGCTCTGTCGATATAGAAAGCTCGGGAAAGCAAGCTGCTGATGAGGGCGCTGAGGCGAGCATCTCGCCACCTGCTGTTCTGCGTGAAACAGAAGGCCTTGACCAAGCCGTAGCTGCTTCCTCTTTTCCTCAAACAGATGCAGTGGGGCCTATTGAAAACCCCGGAGAGACACAAAAGTGTAAGACAAGTTAAAACCAGCAGATTTCAGCGGGGCATCAACACTTTACCATCCGTCTTACACCCTAAACCCTAAACCCTAGGGTTTAGGGTTTAGGGTTTAGGGTTTAGGGTTGAGGCCCTGAGGTATCTTTCTCCATGAAATGTTCTGGTTTCAGTGTTTGTTTCTATGTGTATTTCTCAGCATCATCATCAGAAGGAATGAGAGCAATGTGGCGAACAAATGTGAAAGATAGTGCCTGGCGAGGGCTGGTTGTAATGCCAAAAGAGAAAACCGAAGACTCGAGTACTTCTTAACTCAAAAGTTTCACTGTTGTTGATATGCAGTAGCAGGCGGCTTCAAACTTTCTAGATGAGTGTTCACCTATGCAGCAGAAAACAATGAACAGAGCAGGTGCATCCAAGCATATCACCATGAAACGTTATGCCTGTAGCTGTAGCAGCTTCACTCAACAGAAAGGCCGTAGAACTCCGCCTGCCTGCTGTATTCACCCAGCCGGGGTGTACAGTTCTCTTTGCTTAATAACTTTTAGACACCGCCATAGTTATGCTGAACCTCAGATGCATGGAAATGCACAGAATTTGTATACAAAAACACACGAGATGAGAAAGCTTTGTGTTAAACCTAACTTCTGGGTTTTTCCTAATTCAATAGTAATCACCGTAGTCAGTCAAGAATGCATATCTGTTTATTTAGAACGCTTTCTGAGCGTTTCATCTATTCTACCTTCATGCAGCAACGGCTCTTCCTCGCAGCCTTTTTCAACAATTACTGCTGCTGCTGCTGCTGCTGCTGCTGCAGCTGTTGCATAGTTTGGTGCTGCAGCCCTTCTGCTATATAATCACAGCAAGCGAGACGCTGTGATATGCGGTTAGCTGCCAGTATAGAGTATGTCTGCAGCATGCAGACTTTTGTTGTGAAGTGTGAATGAAATTCTACACCTGAAACCCTAAACCATCAACTCTAATCCTTTTCTAGTTGATACTATACTCAAGTATTAGCATGATCTATAACAAACATTGTAGATATCCCTGCTGAAATATTAAATAAATATAAATTAAATATAGAAATATTAAATAATATTATAAATACTTCTAATCTCAGAAGATGAGCAGAGATACACAAGAAAGTGAAGAGATATATTCAGTGCACCCAACTCGCCTTCTCAGTGAGTTGCTTAGCCTTAGTTAATGAATGCTTATCAAGAACGAGAAAAACTAGGAAAACAACATATATATATATATATATATATATATATATATATATATATATATATATATATATATATATATATA